TTTCGTAGCATTAACTGACTGCCGCGAACAAACCAAAATAATGATGCACGCTGATGAATGAGAAGGCCTTCGTTGTTCAGTAATTTGCTCGCAAAAAGCTTGGAAATTGTGCAAGCGCTAAAGGCGATCATTCATTTGATAGGTAGTTCATGAGTTAATTAGGATTACTTAGGATCCCTTGCCCCTTTAAATTATGAATAATTTGCATTTTTAAGTGAAACGGACACGCGTAAAACTCTCTCTGCATGTCTTCTATCTTTCAATCTTATCTGCATTTCTTTTCTTTTCTGCTTTACGCTACATCAAGGATGCGGATCGGATCACCCCAAAGCATTTCTCGATAATCGTTTAATGAACATTTTTCAACATATTTAATTTAAGACTCATCATGTTGACCCCATGTTACTGATTCACTTAACATTGTAATCTTTAAAAATAATTTTCGAGCGATCTTTCTCCATATAATCACGTTCTTTTAACTTTCCCTTCATCTCTCCCTTCGCTCTCAGCTCATTTTGGGGGGCAACTCGATTAGGATAGGGGGTACGTGTCCCCCTTGCCCCCACCCCGTAGCTATGCCATTTGTGCTATACTTTGTACTTTGGTCGGTGCTCATCTACTTACGTTTATGATATCATTATCATTGTATAAAACGACGTGCCATCCACAAGATAGGCTAGATTTTTTGTTCGAACTGTGTATTCTATCAGGTTATAAATTATATAGATGGCATCCAAAAGAGAAAATATGTTGATTGCTGAGGCATCCTCAGATGAAGTGATCGGAGCCAATGCTTCAGAGCAAGAAACTGGTTGTTGTGCACTAGTACTGACAATCCTGTCATGGATCATTGTGATCTGCACGTTCCCAATCTCAATTTTTATCTGCATAAAAGTGGTGCAAGAGTACGAAAGAGCGGTTATCTTCAGGCTTGGGCGTCTCTTACCTGGCGGTGCTAAAGGTCCAGGACTATTCTTCGTCGTGCCTTGCATTGATGACTACACCAAGGTAGATCTTCGTACCATTTCGTTTGATATTCCACCTCAAGAGATTCTGACCAGGGATAGTCTGACCATCTCTGTGGATGCTGTGGTTTTCTACCGTGTCAAGAATGCTACCATCAGCATCGCCAATGTGGAAAATGCCGACAAGTCTTCCAGACTCTTGGCTCAGACAACTCTTCGTAATGTCCTGGGCACCAAGAACCTGGCCGAGATCCTGGCTGAACGTGAAGGCATTAGTAACTACATGCAGTCCACCCTAGACCGTGACACCGATCCTTGGGGTATCCAAATAGAGCGAGTTGAGATCAAGGATGTTCGTTTGCCTGTCCAGCTCCAGAGAGCCATGGCTGCTGAGGCTGAAGCTTCCAGAGAGGCCAGGGCTAAGGTGATAGCTGCTGAAGGAGAACAAAATGCTGCTCGTGCCCTGAAGGAAGCTGCAGATACTATGGCAGAATCCCCAGCGGCCCTTCAGCTGAGGTACCTGCAGACTCTCAACACCATCTCAGCAGAGAAGAACTCCACCATCATCTTTCCACTTCCTATTGATCTCCTCAAGGGCATAATGAAGTAAACAATCACCAGCTGTTTGGGTTAACATATTGTGGATTTAAAAATGTAAAACCTTTGAAAACGATGTTCATTGAATTATTCATTATAGGACAGAAAATAATGTAAGATTTGTTCACAAACAATTGAATAAATCCATAATCATTTTGCAGATTTAGTTGACTTGCTGGGATCGTGTGAATAGCTTTGAGCTCATTTATTTCCTTGACATGGAGGAAAGGTACTATACTTTAAAATTAGAACTCGATCAATACCCAAACATACTATCAAGTGACGTTCTATTGAAAATTCCATGTAAAATCCATTAATGTTGGAATTGGGTGTAACTATGAAACCCATCTGACCGTATCCGAATGATGAAAACTTTACGGTCACATTCGGACATTACGTAATGTAGTGCATCTTCAATATGCTTTGAAGATTCTTGGTATGTGATTAATTCAATGAGGAAGTATATGTACCAATTAAAGATGATTTTTTGTTGTTGAAATAAATCATCGGTGAACATTGTGGAACTAAGATTACAGTACGCATCTATAGAATGTACTGTTTATCGGGGTTTTAATCTAAACAGTACATGCATAGGTCAGAGATCATAATTTGATTAGAATATGAACATAACTATCTAAGCCGCCTTCTTAGTTATAAAAATCAATGAAATGCTACTGTAATGCGCTATAATGTAAGTGTCTTTTATTGGTGAATAGTTTAGGTCAGTGTATTAGGTAAATGATGTCATAAGGATAGTGGAGCAAATAAGAAAATTGATATGGATAAAGAATTACAGAGAATATTAATTCCTAAGTTCTCAAGAATGTAATGATTTATAACTTATCTTTGTCTGCACTAGATTGGCAGAGATGGATTGCTGGGACAAATAGCGCAGCAGATTTTAATGGTTTTTGTTTTTTAAATGGCTTAGGTTCAATTTGCAATCCTATAGATAGTTTAAGGGATAGGTGTCAGTTATCAGTGCCACTGCACATAGCCTTTTAAGAGTTTGATGTAATGTGTTCATGTGCTTATTTTTGTGCGCATGGGTGCTTGTAGGTATGCTTGTGTGTGTAGGTGTGTGTTTCTTGGCTGTGGGCAATGGCATTGGACGATGACGCTTTTCTCCTGACTGGAACATGGGGGGTGGGGGGGGGGTGATTCTTAAAAAAGATTGCACTATTTTATTTACTTTTAAAACTATCTTTCTTATTTTCGCTTCTCTCTCTAAATGTACTGCATCTCTACAATATAACTTAACTGTGTTTGTGTGTATGTTTTGTATTTTGTTTAAATCATTTCAACTTTAATTGTGTAGCCTTAATTTTCGTTATATGTGCTTTTAAAGTTTAAGCGAATAAAGAATATAGTGAAATGAAACGATGAGATGTTTAGATGACAATGAAAGGAATGATTATAACCAATTTTCTCATGCAATAAATTTCATCAATTAGTGTTAAGCAAGCTTTGGTGCTTGGAAGATTTGTAATACTTAGCTACGTTATTCTATTTCGTCAAAGATGTTTGAATCTTTTCAATGGTCTTTCTCTAATAAAAAAAAATAGAGATAATTAATGGTCATTGGTTATAATATCTGGTTCACCAGCAGTATACCTTAAATGTAGGCTTTTTGGATATGCAAATATACATTTAGAAATAAAAAACACTTTCTGTGCTTGTGATTATTTGCCATGTCTAACCTTTTGTTCAACAACAATTAGTCGTCAAAAGCGGTTCCAAATAGCAAAACTAACTCAACTAAACGTTCCTTCTGCGTGGGTCTTCTTCTTCTTTGAAACTGAAACCTTAACCCCGATATAATATTACGTTATAATATTTTAGCAGAACCAAAAAAAAAAAAAAAAAAATGAAAAATAAATAAATAAATAAATAATAATAATAATAATAAATAAAAAAAAATAAAAATAACAATAATAGTAATAATAATAATGATATTAAGTTGTTTTTTTAATCTAAAAACAATTAAAAAAATAATTTAAAAAAATAGTGGGAGAGATAGATAGATTGATTGATTTTTACAGATAGATAGAAGACAGGGAGAGAGAGAGAGAGAGAGAGAGAAAGAGATAGAGAGATGGGTCACAAAGAAAGCGATAAATAGCGTGGTGAAAAGGAGCTTATCATTTTGTTAAGAAAAAAGTGGGAAAATAAAAGCGGGCGCGTACGCAGGGGGGGGGGGGGGTTAAACCCACCCCCTTTATTTTGTATGTGTGTGTTTAAAAAAATAATTGAAAAAAAAATTATGCTAATAGGTGACCCAAAAAAGGTGACCTTACCCCCCCCCCCCCCCAACGGAACGAAATGTCGATCGGTCAAATTTCGGGCCCCCCCCCCCCCCCCCCCCCCCCCCCCTCTTGAAAAAAATCCTGCGTACGCCACTGGTGTAAAGGCATGTATTTAAATAAGGGAAACTCGCAATGTAAAAGTTCAACGTCAAACCATGAAAGGTTTGGGATCTCGGCACTGTTGCAACCATGATGAAGACAATTCGAGAAAAGCGGTGAACTGAGAGTGCAACTCTATACCCATTTACTAAATTAGAAGCTATTAGAATCTATACCCATACCAAAATGATATGCTAACAAGACAATCTTATCCTGACACCAGTACGAAATTTACATTGGCAAGCCAAATAATAATATTTTCATAGCATTAAATGATTGCCGCGAACAAACCAAATGATGCACGCTGATGAATGAGTAACTAGGCCCTTCGTTGTTCAGTAATTTGCTCGCAAAAGCTTGGAAATTGTGTAAGCGCTAAATGCGATAATGCATGAGATATAGGTAAAGTAAAGTAAATAGGATTACCGATGTTACGTGAAGGACAGATACATCGAGTTATTTGCATCCATTAGCTAAAATGTGGCGGTTATTATACATCTGATATAGAATTAAATGGTATTTAAACGAAAGTTAGGAGCTGAATCATTAGGGACAGGGGGGGGGGGGGGACAAAAAAGGCAATGGTGTCGCCGCTGAAAAGGGTTGGGGTATTCGGCGTCGAAATATACTAATTTGCTTAAAAGAATTGCCAGAAGTTCAAAAATATCAATGAGCTAAATTGCAAAAATGGCTGAGATTATCACTTTGATGACACAGTTTAAAGATGAAGTCGAATTCTGATTCGATTGCTTTTTGACGGAAGCTATCATGGAAGAGATTTGAAAAGTTCTACGGTGTATATTCTGCGAGGTTTTGGAATCGACAATATGAATTTGACTCATGCTTGATAAACGTCACATGCACTTTACAAATTTTAGTCCGAACACTTAATAGTCCGCGCCTTCTTCAACAGATATATAAAACTTCTTGGTGTGTGCCACTGCTACCACTGCCGATGCCTATCGCATTCATTACCAAACACAGTCTGTTAAACAAGACTATGAGCCCAATATTTATAATGATAAACGCCGTGGACCTTCGAAATTACGTGAGTTCCATATCGACAATAGAAACTCTTTTGTTTGTCCGCCTTTAGTTTGTTCGACTCTTACAATCCAGTGAGTAAATGCAATGACTCAAATTTTCCTTCCATGTCAGATTTACAACAGAGAGCGTGCGGTAAGCGTTCACGTCACTGCTATAACGAGCACAAACGTATACACATACAGGACAAAGTACTGTGTATATAATCATCGTCACTACCTGCATATCACAAACTTGGAAAGATTTTGATGGTATATCACTGTGTAGCATAGTCTGCACTGAGAGGACATTGCATACAGATCTGCCCATTTCCGTGTCGGGATCCGTGTGTAATATTTACTGAGCGAAAAGTAATCGCATTATCACAGGAGAAAGAGCTCCAAAATGGCGTCAAGGGATAAAGATGATTTCAATGCAGGAGAGAATCCTCCTCATGTTATTGGAGCGTCGGAATCCCAGGAAGGGAGCGGTTGTTGTGGAATCCTACTGACGATCTTGTCGGTGATAATCGTGATCTGTACGCTGCCATTTTCACTTTTTGTCTGCATAAAAGTGGTGCAGGAGTACGAAAGAGCAGTTATATTCAGACTTGGGCGCCTCTTGTCTGGCGGTGCTAAAGGTCCAGGACTGTTCTTCATCCTGCCTTGCATTGAAGATTACACCAAGGTAGATCTCCGTACCATTTCGTTTGATATTCCACCTCAAGAGATTCTGACAAGGGATAGTCTGACCATCTCTGTGGATGCTGTGGTCTTCTACCGTGTCAAGAATGCTACCATCAGCATCGCCAATGTGGAAGATGCAGGCAGATCGACCAAACTCCTGGCCCAGACAACACTTCGGAATGTCCTGGGCACCAAGAACCTGGCCGAGATCCTGGCTGAACGTGAAGGTATCAGTCACTACATGCAGTCCACCCTGGACCAAGACACCGACCCCTGGGGTATCCAAGTAGAGCGAGTTGAGATCAAGGATGTTCGTTTGCCTGTCCAGCTCCAGAGAGCCATGGCTGCTGAGGCTGAAGCTTCCAGAGAGGCCAGGGCTAAGGTGATTGCTGCTGAAGGAGAACAGAATGCTGCTCGTGCCCTGAAGGAAGCTGCAGATACTATGGCAGAATCCCCATGTGCCCTTCAGCTGAGGTACCTGCAGACTCTCAACACCATCTCAGCAGAGAAGAACTCCACCATCATCTTTCCTCTTCCTATTGACCTCTTGCAAGGCATCTTGACTAAGTAATTAAGTCATTTTGGTTTTGATGATCAGTTCAATTATATTTCTCATACGAATATATACTACGTATTATTTTATAAATACATGTATCTTAACATCCTATGACTAATATGAACAACTTTTACTATAAGGTTGTATTATAATATGTCATGCCTGTTTTGTAGAACTCTTTAATGTAACTGAAACAAAGTAAATCGATTTAATAAGTTTATGCTACATTATATAAATTCCTTTCTAATAACATCTTCGTTCCGTGAACAATATTGTAAATTAGAAAAATGACAATCTGATACAAAAGGATCTATGGGTAAGAGTTGGAACGATGAAGATAAAAGAAAGAGAGAAGTTTATACATTTGAGCAAGGTTTACAGAGTATCGTTTTCTTTTTATTTCGTAACATTCCCAGGCTAGGATTAAACTTTAATTTGGTGGAGGGGAAGACGTTATGCAAAGTAAACAAAACGGTCGTTTGAGATATTGCTGCCGTTTCGAATGAGGATGACAGTCCCTGTTTTCCAAATAAAAGTTATTCGAAAGAAAAGCAGAAGTGTTGGAGGCTTCGTCAATAGATAAAACTTTCTTTTTGAATATGTGGTGTTCTAATTATATACGTAACATGTCTGTTAGAATATTGTGTAAATTAAGTGCTATGCCCTCAGTTGAGGAAGTTTGTTGCTTCCTCTGTTGTCCAAAGCTAATAGACCATTTCCGTATTTCAATCAAATTTAATGCATACATTTTTGTGTAGTGCCATGGTACATATTATTTCATTTGCCTGTTATGTTATATATTATTGTATTTCAATAGTCAGAATGCGACATGCATACTTCAGTGCATTAACTTTTGTTTAGTTTCACTGGTTATGAGGCGTGATATATGCATAAATACATTTTAACTAAATATATCTGAAAAGTTGTGGTTTATCCTAAAGGGAAATGGCGCATATAATAATGCATTATATATCCCAAGCACAAATAGTTACTAATTCATAAACATGTTGCCATATGTTGTTTTCTTCACACCCAAGCACTCGAGTTTACTTCTGTTAATAAAATGTACGGGTAAATATAAAACGTGATAGACTATACTCTCATTGATTGCATGTCCTAGATCACTATCGACCTTCACATACACATCTTCTGTACAGATTGTTTATTACACAACTCTGTGGTTATACTTCTTTGTGTGATTAATATCTTTTTATTAAGATACTATTTATAAATACGGATACGGTGAAAGCATGATAACTATTTTTAAATTGGAAATAAAACTGTTTTTACTTGAATAGTGCCTGTTACATATTTTGTTAGCCTTCCTTTTAGATGAGATACAGACTGAAAGGGATAATTTCAGAAAGGGAATGATCGTCAATCTAGCGACAAATAAAGAGTCAGAGAGGAGTGGATGGGGGGGGGGAGAGAGATGAGGTAGCGATGAACAAAGGAAGGGAGAGAGAGGGGGAGAGTAATGAGCGTATGAGAGAAGAAAAATAAGAAAGAAAGCGTGTTACATGAAAGGGAAAAGGAATTATTGGATAGAGTGACAATAAAAGAGGGCACAATAAAGAAAAAGAGGAAATACAAAGTATGAAAGAATCGGGGTGAGTGAAAGTATAATAAGAGAAAAAATTAAGAGAGAGTAAAAGCCAGTCGAGGATACATTCCTAATAATGGAAAACAGATATACAGTATATCACACTTTTAAGAAAATTTTCGCAAAAAGGAATATATCATATTAAAAAAAAAGAATAAAAGTAAAACAGAAAGAATGCGATATCGCTCACGCTTTAAAAAAAAATCTCTCTCATATTTGCAAAGCAAAATTTGAAAATGAAAAAGGGGAACTACATAAATAAAGCCCTAAATAACGCCCTTAAATACAGCGTCATGACGCCGTATTATAGGGCGTTATAACGCCGTATTGGGTGTAATAACACCGTAAATATCAGGAATGATTTCAATATTTGTTTCTCTCTTACATGGTTAAGATTTTGGTGAGATTTGTGAGGTCTCATTGCGAAATATTGCATCTTAAACAGAGGGGGGATCCTAATGGGTTTTAAGCACAATCTAATCATTAAAGAATGAAAAGACCTTCATAAGGAACAAAATGTTATCAACAGTTGCTAGTCGCTTTAAATTGGGAGTAAATGTTATGGGGAAAGGAAAAGGGGGCAATTATCCAAAGGGAAAAGGACAATTATGAGAACGGAAAAGGGGCAATTATCAGAAGGAAAATGGCACTTATTTATTAGAAAGGATGGTACTTATTAAAAAAGATAAGGGAGCACGTGTAAAAATAAAAGGGGCCCTTATTTCAAAGCTTTAGAGATAAGATAGTATACCTCTTAAATTTGAATAAGAGCAACGACTGGAGATGAAAATGAGCACTTATAAGAATAAAAAGGGGCATACTCTTTGATTTGATAAGATGTGGTGAGGGGCACTTTTTGTACCTGAAAAGAGGCACTCATTTGAGATGAATAGGGGCACTTGTGAGAATGGAAAGGGATAACTATTACAAAGGAAAATGGGCACTTGTCGAAGAAAACAGGCACCTATCAGATGTTTAATAGTGGCATTTATCAGAAATGTGAGAAGGGGCATTCTCGAGGAGGGGAAGGGGCTCTTATTAAAAATTATGAAGGCAATTGTCATTGGTGAAGGGGACACATATCAGAGGTGGTAAGGCCTGATTATAAGAATGTGGAACGGGCACCTATTATAAATTAAAAATGGGCACTTAAGGGATACATGAAAAAGAGGAGGGGGTACTGTGCGTCCTGTGCCGTCTGCCTCCCCTCGGTTTCAACGCCTCTGATGCAACACTACCCATTTAAAATGTAGAAGCTATTAGGATCAATATCAAGAAATCCAACAAAATGATATGCAAACATGAAAATCTTATCATGGAACCCGACTTTCAAACAAAAGCACCAGGACTTAATTTACATTGACAACCGATTAATAATATAGACGCGAACGAACCAAATGATGCACGGTGATGAATGAGAAGACCTTCATTGTTCAGCATTAATTAACACAGTATGTCTGTCAAACAAGACTATCAGCCCAGTGTTTCTTTTGTCTAGATACTAATAGACGCCTTATGCGATTTCCATATCGACCATAAAAACTCTTTGGTTAATTTGTTCACCTTAAGTTTATTGCCCAGTTCTGTGACTAACTTGATATGCCCATGCCCGCCCCACCCCACTCGGTGTTATTTATGGTACGCGTATGCTTGTTCCCTCCCTTTGAAAGCACCCCCTATCTCATTGCTGCCAACATTTCTGGACCCACCCCCCCCCCCGCCCCCTTCGCGGGCTTTTCCTGCCTCGGAGACCCCTCTAAATCTGGAACACTGCTCAATGTACCCCACTATCTATGATATTCAAGATATTTTATAACCCCCTATATTTCTCTGGAGTCCAAACAGAGAGAGTGAAAAAACGCCCCCTTTTTATATTTCATTACCCCCCTCCCTTTCTAAATTTCTCAGGAATACAAAGAGATAGAGAAAGAAAAAAACACCCCCTTTTTAAAGAAATTTCCGGGTGAAAAGTTAGAAACACCCCCTTTTTTTTTTTACAATATTCGGGCCGGACTTTGTAGCGCGAAAAAATAACCCTTTACCGGAGATCTTGGGAACCCTATGGTCCCTCCGACCCCGGAGTGAGGAGGGGGGGGGGGGGGGCAAATACAACGATGATTCAATTTTTCCTTTCACGATTTACAATCGTGCGAAGCGTTCACGCCACTGCTATATCGAGTACAAACGTACAATATACAGGACAGAGTACTGATAATCATCGTCACTACCTGCACTGCCTCATATTGGAAGGCATTCATTTGATTGTAGGCCTATACTATAGCATGCATTGTCTGCACCGAAAGGACAAAATCAATGACTACCCACCCGCCTGTATCCGTGTGTATTATATTTTTGAACGAAAAGTGATCGCATAATCAGGAGAATGAGCTTCACGATGGCGTCAAGGGATGAAAACGATTGCAGTACAAGAGAGAATCCTCCTCATGTTATTGGAGCGTCGGAATCCCAGGAAGGGAGCGGTTGCTGTGGAATCGTCTTGATGGTGGTGTCGGTGATAGTCGTGATCTGCACGCTGCCATTCTCACTTTTTGTCTGCATAAAAGTGGTGCAGGAGTACGAAAGAGCAGTTATATTCAGACTTGGGCGTCTCTTGTCTGGCGGTGCTAAAGGTCCAGGACTGTTCTTCGTCCTGCCTTGCATTGAAGATTTCACCAAGGTAGATCTTCGTACCATTTCGTTTGATATTCCTCCTCAAGAGATTCTGACAAGGGATAGTCTGACCATCTCTGTGGATGCTGTGGTCTTCTACCGTGTCAAGAATGCTACCATCAGCATCGCCAATGTTGAAGATGCAGGGAATTCAACCAGACTCTTGGCTCAGACAACACTTCGTAATGTCCTGGGCACCAAGAACTTGGCCGAGATCCTGGCTGAACGTGAAGGCATCAGTCACTACATGCAGTCCACCCTGGACCAAGACACCGACCCCTGGGGTATCCAAGTAGAGCGCGTTGAAATCAAGGATGTTCGTTTGCCTGTCCAGCTCCAGAGAGCCATGGCTGCTGAGGCTGAAGCTTCCAGAGAGGCCAGGGCTAAGGTCATTGCTGCTGAAGGAGAAAATAATGCTGCTCGTGCCTTGAAGGAAGCTGCAGATACTATGGCAGAATCCCCATGTGCCCTTCAGCTGAGGTACCTGCAGACTCTCAACACTGTCTCAGCAGAGAAGAACTCCACCATCATCTTTCCTCTTCCTATTGATCTCTTGCAAGGCATCTTGACTAAGTAAACCAGTCATATTGGTTCTGATGATCAGTCTAATTATGTTTATCATAAGAATATATATTACGTTTTATTAAATAAATAAATATTATATGACTAATAATGATAATTTTTAGTACTTTTAGCCTTATGTTACACAATAATATGTCATGCCTGTTTTGACCCGTCGTTAATATAACCGCAATAAAGTAAATCGATTGAATATGTAGGCTACATCATATACATTCCTTTCTACTAACATCTTCGTAAATGAGAAATATGACATAATCTGACACAATAGAAGTATTTGAGTAGAAACGATACAGATAAAAGAAAGATAAGTTTTTTTCTTCATTTGAGCATGGTGAACAGAGAATCGTTTTATTATTTTCTTTCGTAACATGTATATATATATATATATATACTGTATATATATATATATATATATATATAACGAGTCCCCGTTTTCTAAATAAAAAGTCATTCGAAAGAAAAGCAGAAGTGTTGGAGGCTTCGTCAATAGATACAACTTTCTTTTTGAATACGTGGTGTTCTAGTTAAATACGTAACATTTCTGTTAGAATGTTGAGTATATCCAAACCTGTGCCCTCAGTTGAGGAAGTTTGTTGCTTCCTCTGTTGTCCAAAGCTAATAAACCATTTCCGTATTTCAATCAAATTTAATGCATACACTTTTGTTTAGTGCCATGGTATATATTATTCCATTTGCCTGTTATGTTATATATTATTGTATTTCAATAGTCAGAATGCGAAATGCATACTTCAGGGCATTAACTTTTGTTTAGTATCACTGGCTATGAGGCGTGATATATGCATAAATACATTTTAACTAAATATATCTGAAAATTTGTGGTTTATCCTAAAGGGAAATGGCGCATATAATAAGGCATTATATATTCCAAGCACAAATAGTTACTAATACATAAACATGTTGCCATATGTTGTTTTCTTCACACCCAAGCACTCGAGTTTACTTCTGTTAATAAAATGTACGGGTAAATATAAAACGTGATAGACTATACTCTCATTGATTGCATGTCCTAGATCACTATCGACCTTCACATACACATCTTCTGTATAGATTGTTTATTACACAACTTTGTGGTTATACTTCTTTGTGTGATTAATATCTTTTTATTAAGATACTATTTATAAATACGGATACGGTGAAAGCATGATAACTATTTTTAAATTGGAAATAAAACTGTTTTTACTTGAATAGTGCCTGTTACATATTTTTTTAGCCTTCCTTTTAGATGAGATACAGACTGAAAGGGATAATTTAAGAAAGGGAATGATCGTCAATCTAACGGAATAATAAAGAGTCAGAGAGGAGTGGATTGGGGGGGGGGGAGAGATAGCGATGAACAAAGGAAGGGAGAGAGAGGGAGAGAGCAATGAGCGTATGAGAGAAGAAAAATAAGAAAGAAAGCGTGTTACATGAAAGGGAAAA